TCGGGAAAAAAAATTCATTTATTAAAAACCCAAACTTTTTTTTTTACTGGGCCCTCTTTTTGTCATCAGTGCCGGGTTTTGGGGGACCAACCCCTCCCGCCTTCGCCTTGGCCAAACTCCTCTTATCATGGGGATCCATGGAGACCCCCTGTTCCTCTCGGGGGCAGTGTCAAGTTTCCAGTATCATTAGCCACATTCGTTAGTACTTTCCCTCCCCTATCAACGAGCACGGGAAATTTTCCTCCAACGTCGTCTTCTTTTTCCAAATCTCCCCTTTTCCTTCCCTTCTTTTCTGTTGGGGGCCCCCCTTTAATCCTGACTCTCTCATTGACTTCTTGACAACGACTGATTTACTCCACAAACTCTGATGATACTTTTCGCACTCCCCTCAGCCCTTTCTGGTTCAGTCTCTTGCTGCCCTTTACCCTTTCACCATCCACTGCCCCGCTGTTATCCGTAACCTGTTGCTCATCCATCTCCCTTTTGCCACCTGATGCCCTCGCTTCCTTCCTGCCCTGCAGCGCTGTATAGTCCTTGTGGCTTAGCGCTTCTTTTTGATTATAATAATAATAATAATTTGATGTTCTTTGTATTGCTGAGGGAAGTTTTTGTTTGATCAGCAGTATATTTGTAGCCTTGGCCACAGATATTTAGTTCATGATCAGTATTAGCGTTCATTGAGCATAATGTAACAGTACTTCTTACTTAATAGAGTATGATAACATGGTGCAAGGTGGCATATGGATTAAAAGTGTAAGATCATGGGAGCCATGGAATTAGAGGTGCCCACCCCTTCCTTTGATCAAACCTGATTACCTTTCATTCCTCAGATACTGTTATGATCCCTATTAGTTTAGAACTTCCCCATGAATATAAACAACTTGGGAAAAAAAATTGATGAAGTACATAAGAGTGATTCTAAATTTTATTCAGCTGCATAAGTAATCACAAAGTTTATGCTATGAGAGTATTATGTTGTCTTAACTGCTGTATCTATAATTTGTCAAAACTATTTATAAATATGTTATTAAAGATAACAGTGCTGGGCAAAACGAATATGGAATAATCTTCATAAGTTTCAATAGAGAATTTGCATATCATTCTGCCAGCAGAATAACATTGACATACGCAGATACTGTACTATAAATTCCATTTTTTTTTTTTTAAATTCACAATATTATAGCAAGTAGACATAAATGTTTCTTCCTGTTATACTAGCATAAACTGAAGCAAAATATTTTCTGTCTGCAGTTTAAAGAGAAATTCACTTTATACTTAAACATGCTTTTAATTCTCTTTCTTCAAGAGTGCCTTGATGCTAATTGGGCTTTACATTCAAGGACTTGGAGCTACCCTCACCTTCCTTGGATCAAACCTGATTGCCTCTATTCCTCAGGCACTGTACAATCCCAACGAATTTAGCACTCCTCCAAGAATGCATTAAATTTTATTTCTCTCCAATAACATGTCACCATAATAATGAAGGACCACTTGCTGCCATGTGGTCTACCTCTGCTGAAACTACAAACTACAGCAAACTTATAAAAGCCTTCATACAAAAAAAAAAAAAAAAAAAAAAAATCCAACAACACAAAGCTGTACATTTCCATTTAAAACAGGATGAAGAAACTTCAATTTAAGGCAATTTAAAAGTAATTTAGTATCTATAGAATGATATAAACTGATATTTATATATAAATAGGTCAATATATAACTATATACACTATGATTAAATAATTATATATACTATTAAATAATTATATATACCTGATTAAATAATTATATATTTATGTAAAAAGTACATATATGATCAAGAATACTTTAAAATGTACAAATAAGTAGTTTTCTCAAGTTAAGACATATCGTAGATATAAACTTAATATTTTATACAGAGGAGGTAGTAGCAGTATAAGTATTAATATACAGTACATAAGACAAAACAAACACTTTTCAGTACTTAAAACAAACACTGTATTAGCTTGCATGTACACAAGGCAAATTTGTTAAGCATGCATTTGATATGCATCATTCCTAAAAATCTAAATATTTAATAACTTAATGCACTGGTAAACTGATACAACTCTTCCTACTTCAAGATAAGAGCTAATATGTCACATTACTTTCGTACTTTAGTAATTCTTATTTTGTGATCAGTCTAGCCTGTGCTTAATTTAAATACAGTGGACCCCCGCCTTACGATATTATTTCATTCCAGAAGTATGTTCAAGTGCCGTTACTGAATGAATTTGTTCCCATAAGGAATACTGTAAATTGGATTAGTCCGTTTCAGACCCCCGAAAATTCACGTACAAACGCACTTACATAATTGGTCACATTGGGAGCTGATCATAAGGCGGGGGTCCACTGTATTAAAGTCCTAAATAAATTGTAAGAAAAGTGCATATATCACAGAAGTAAAAATATGGAAATCAAAGTAGAGAGATATCACAGTAAAATAAATAGGCTGTGGTTTAAAAAAAATAACTAGCCACATTGTTTAATACAATCTATGAAGGAATTTTTAGCAAGTGGATTCTTTCCTTACATAAAAATATCTCAATTTGCCAGTGTTTACTTCACAAACCTATATAACTTGCATGATTTATCTTCTGACTCGGTTTGGGATTATAAATACACCCATTTTCAAAAGACTTACACTCAAGAGGATCACCAAACAGAATGAAAGACACACATGAAGTACCTGGGAGTAATTATGCAACTTACCTTTCTTTCAAAGAACATGGTAAGGCAAGTGTCACATCAGCCAGGATGATGACAGGGTGGATAATGAGAACTTTCAAAATGAGGGAACCTTCAAGGGAGGTTCCTTGATGCTGGTGAGGGGGCTTGATCTAAGGAACTGGATCTGTGATCCCCTATCTTGGCTCATACCTAAATGCCTCCTATTTCCCAATGTGTTGTATGATCCCTACAGGTTTAATACTCCTTCATGAATGTAATACAAATTATTATTATTATAATCAAGGGGGAAGCGCTAAACCCGGAGGATTATACAGCGCCTGGGGGGGGGATGTGGAAGGCATTCAGGCTTAATTCGGGGAACTGGAGCACAGATCCAATTCCCTAAATCAAGAGCCCCTCACCAACATCAAGGAACCTTCCTTGAGGGGATGTAATACAAAACAAGGAAAATAATGCCAATGGTGACACTATTCATATGGCTTCTGCTCTCTTGTTCAGATTATTGTTCACTACCTCAAAGTTCTAAATATGAGCTCTAGCAGAGGAATGTTACATGATAATGTTTGTGAGAAAATTACTTAAGAGCTTAGTCCCAAATCTGCACACTGCTATAACTTACTGGAGTGAGAAATATGAGTGAAAACAAAATAAACCCAGTGAAAAGAAGAGTGCTGTGGACAATAGAAGATTGTATCAACCTCTATGGTCCCAGACTTTTTAACATCATCTCCTCAAGGAAGGTTCCTTGATGCTGTTGAGGGGCCCTTGATATAGGGAATTGGATCTGTGCTCCAGTTCCCTGAATTAAGCCTGAATACCTTCCACACCTCCCCCCCCCACAGGTGCTGTATACTCATATGGGTTCAGCGCTTCGCCCTTGATTATAATAATAATTTTTAACATCTTGCCAGAAAATATCAGAAATATTGCCACAACAAGTAGAGAAGTCTTCAAAGGTAAACTTGGTAAGTACCTCTACCAAGTGCCAGATCAACTAGGCTGCGATGGACATTTGGGCCAGTGTGACCACCACCACCGACAGCTTGAAAGCACCAGACAAGTCTGGCTAAGAGCCAGACTCCAGGAGTAGGAAAACTCTTCAAATGTAAATGTATAAATATTGCCAGGTTATCAGAATTGAAGGAGAACTGTTTATTCATAGCAAACCTCACACCATGTACAGATATGTCACAATCAATGCCTAAAAATGTCTGTCAAACACACACACAAAATTAAGAAATCCTTCAACTTCACTAAGAGAAACATCAAGAGGTAAATCTGAAACTGAAAACTGTTAAAACTAGAAATGAAGAAAGTTTCCCACCACCAAGGTACTGCAATTATAAATGGTTCATATTTTATATACATACAATACTGTCTCTGGCCACAAACTAAACTATAATCATAAATTAAGCAATATAAAGTAACATTAATTTAATCAGGGAATTACACTTAAAAGATTTAGAGGATAAAAAAAGGTAGATTTAGGTAGGTTATGTGGCTCGGTGTGTCATCACTGGATTGTAACATGTGACCTATGTTCCAGACTGTTCTTCCTAGGAGGAAGATATTATGCCATTCGTATCCTCATGATATTAGGATTTACTTAGCCTGTAATGTAAGATCCATCATAGCTCATTCTAACTAATGAGATTTTACTCAAAGGATCTTCAAAAGTGCCTAGTTACCAGTTTACGAGTTTCTTATATCAGCACTTAGCTGCTGAGAGTTTATCCAACTCCCAGGTAGAGCTAACTGCCTCTACAGTTATTAGGGTGCTGGTAGTATGACTGCTAGTGGTTAATCAGAACCTGCACAGAGAATAAAACATTTTGAAGAATAGCTGTAGTGCTAGACACAAGATAAATGAGCTCAGAGTGGTTGCATGTGCATGAAACTATGCTATTGCAGTAATGGAGACAATCTGAACAGTTGAGATATGCCTGCTAAATACCACATTCAGGGGTTTAAGTTGCCCTACAGTGATAGAAATAACAGTAAGAAAAGGTGGTACTATATGTCCAAGTAAATTTGGATTCCTGCATAAAGAGAGATGTAAAGTCTGAAGGGACAGACACAGAATCTGTCTAGATAGAATTTCTAGGTCATGAAAAGTTGTTTTTAGGCATGCCATAACAGACCCATGTACTGGAAAGTGATCAAAGGAGACTTCTTTAGAACAAAACTGCTAATTTTAGGAGTACAATACAAAATTATGGCACCAGTGAGATGCAGGAGCAAGAAATATGATATCAATGATGTGAAGGAGCCAGGACTATGGCATCAGTGAGATGTAGAAGCCAGAACTATGGCATCAATGTGGTGCAGGGGCCAGAACTATAGCATCAATGAGGTGCAGGAGCCAGAGCTATGGCATCAACAAGATAGAGCCAGAATTATAACATCAATGAGGTGCAGGAGCCAGAACTGTGGGATCAATGAGGTGCAGGAGCCAGAACTATGGCATCAATGCAAAGCCACCATTTTTTTTTTTTAGAATCCTACTTCATACATGGGATAATTCTTGGAGTTATGTTAAACACTAATGAACAACACTATGCAATTCAAGACTGACTGCAAACAACAATATTCAGCAATAAAATACAAAGAAACTTTGTCTCTTCATGGACGTTATTTTGTACAAAGTTCGAAAATTTCTTGCTAAAAAATTTTTTAATAATTTCAGAGTAAAATAAAATACAGTACCACTGTACTCAAAACTATTTGCCTAAAATTCTATGATAATATTACTATTACCAAATGGATGCTTCCCTCTTATTACACAATAAACAATTATTCACATTCTAACATTTAAATTTTATCATCCATATTGTACTCTAAGATAAAGTGTGTGTGTGTGTGTGTTTGTAATCATGCATGCATGCAAGCACAGTATTTCTGTGTAGGATTTGATGATCCATGTATGGCTATTAATATGAACAACCAATTTTACCACTATTTGTACTTTTCTACATTTTTGCTCAGTGTGCCCTCTTCTGCCTTTTTTCTCAAGGAAATGCCCATTTTTATGGCTATTGTAACAATGTCAGTTGGAACAACTGACATGAAATATGTAGAGCACTTAAACCTAGCAAATTCATTGTGCACTTAGCAATAAAAACCCCCCTCAAGGGAGGTTTCTGGATGCTGGTGAGAGGTTCTTGATGTAGGGAATTGGATCTGTACTCCAGTTCCCTGAACTGAGCCTGAATGCCTTCTATCCCCCCCCCCCCCTTCCACTGTATAATCATTATGGGTTTAGCACTCCCCCATAATGATAATTGGCAATAAAAAATACAAAACAGGCAACAATATCTATGGTAAAATAATGTAACAACAAAATCTACTAGCATGGACAATGAGACACAACATGCAATTATTTAAACATAAAGTATTAAAAAAAATGTTTAAATAATTCCACATCATATAAAAACCTTATCAGACTGGCAATTGAAAAAAAAAATTGCCTAAAAGTTCCTGTTAGTACCTACAGAAATCCTAGAAATTACATATAATAAACATGACTTGGGCAAAAATGCTGAAGCCTTGCGTAAACTAAAATGTGCTCTTCAGTCAGCCGCACACCACACCACACATCACACACACAGGGCAGGAGCACCTGCAAGTAGTGGTTATGGGTGAGGGGGGATCTGTGCTCCAGTTTCCTTAATTAAGCCTGGATACCTTCCACATCCCCCCCCCACAGGCGCTGCATAATCCTACGGGTTTAGTGCTCCCCCTTGATTATAATAATAATAATATGGGTGAGGGGTGTGTGCCTGATAATCAAGAGAAAATCATCTCAAAGCAATGATTCCTGCTAAAAGATGGGAATAACCATTCATATCCCAAACTCTATACATGTATAGCTTGTTTCATGGGTGTAGGGTCTGACAAAGAAAGATGATGGTTTCCAGGGTTCACTGAACTCTACACACAAAATAGTTTTTCATACATCAAAAATTCATATTTTGTGTTCAGGTTTTCATGATCCACACAGGGATTCCTACCACCAGCACCCTCAATGTACTGTAACACTGGGAAATATATAAACTGAATGTTCATAAGAGTCCACAACCAGGATGCCAGCAGAGAGCATCTTTCTTACAGGCATGAGCAATACCCTACATCTTAAGACAACAATTATCTTAAACTAATCTCCAAGCAAGGCAGAAAAATCCTGATCACTGCTTGCATGCTTACTTATACTAAGCTCAAAAGCAACACTACAAGCCTTTGCTGTAGAATCCAGGTGAAGTCATATGTCAGAGAATCAGTGTGAACTTTTCTAGCATCCAGCAGATGGCTACTCTGTAACCCTGCATGACCTTGGTGGGTTTAGCGTTTAGTTTTGAATATTATAATACTGTAATACTCTGTAACCCAGTAGGAAGTAAAGAGTAAGAGCAATTTTTGTTTACACATATATGATAGTTATCTATGTGGAGGAAAAAACCTAAGTTCAAAGTTTCCTTCATAGGAATACAACCTGGTGCCATCCATGAGAACCTAGATACTATAACCTGGTACTGGATCATACTTCAGTGACAGTACCAAGGGAGGCTTCAGCCCCCCAGAAATTCCCTCAGCCCTACAAATAAAAACAGTAATAATAATAACACTGCTTCTAAACAAGTCTCCTAGCCCCCATGTTCCAATAATACAGCCACCCCAGTATAGAAATTCTGGAACTGCCCTGACCTCATAGCATGGTATATTGGTGTCCCAAGGGCATCATTGACTAATGATAGGGAATTTGCATAATGGAAGGTCAAATTGGACTTATTCACTAGCTTCATGCCCTCCATGATAAGCTCCAATGTGCATGAGCTAATATATCCAAGGAGCCTGACATTCCTCTAATATCGAGACTAATATAATGGTGATTCAGGCCCATTTGGAAATAAGCTAATAAAGAGGCCTGTGTCTTGAATATAATGACCAAAACCTGGACAAGTATAAATAATCCTTAACCCCTTCAGGGTCCAAGGCCCAAATCTGAAGTGGTGCCCCAGTGTCCAAGAATTTTCAAACAAACAAATTGTTATTTTTTCTTATGAAATGGTAGAGAATCTTTTTGTGAAGGTAATAAAACAAAAAGTACGAAATTTGATGGAAAATTGACGAAATTATGCTCTCGCGAATTTTGATGTGTCAGCGATATTTACGAATCAGCGATTTTGCCGAGTTTGACTCCCATTTTAGGCCAATTACATTATTCCAGTCAACCAAATTCTTAGCTATTTCACTAGTATTACTTCTATTCTATCGATTGAGCACAAGAAATCACCAAGTCAACTGTTTCAACTACAAATTAAAGTGATCGGAAATTGTTAATTTGGCCAATTTAACACAAAGTTCAAAATATTCCAATTTCAAAATAGGGTCCAGAATAAACAATGTAGGTATTCCTGGAACTAAACTAACATTTCCTCTGTTCATTAGTTATGTTTTGAGGCTTTACAAATAAATTCCATTTTGAATTTTTATTCACCAAAAAATAGAAGATTTACTGTTATGCAATACTGTAATAATTGTATAAATATCATCACCATATTTGTGAATGCATATTAGACCCACCAGCTGGCGTGTATTAGACGTGTGAGGCCGTTTGTTTACTCTTGAATATCGGCAAAAATTTAACATTTCTGCTACTTTGAGCTCAGTTTCAATCCATTTCCAGTGCTAAAACCAATCAAAATCATCTCTATTTCTGTAATATGTCTTCCATTCTATCAAATGAGACCAAGAAATCGCAAATAGAACTATAAAAAACATACGAAAAAACACTGCAAAGTCGCTGTTTTAATCGAAAAATCATGATTTCAGTTTTTTTCTCTCATTATACACAGCGTGCTGCAGGATCTGTTTTATGTGGTGCACACATACCACATAGATGTATTCTCTCATATCTAGGCCCAAATGTACCACTCACAGTTTATCAGAGTGAACTGAGCTCATGACGTAGATCTACGGTTTGGACCCTGAACATAAAGCCGTAGATCTACGGGACGGACCCTCAAAGGGTTAAACATCCCTGGACATAGCATGAGCCTTTGGTAAACCCCTAGTCTTAACCCTTTCAGGGTCCAGAGGCCAAATTTCAAAGTGCGCACCAGGGTCCAAGGATTTTCCAAAAAAAATTTTGTTATTTTTTCTTATGAAATGGTAGAGAATCTTTTTCTGAAGGTAATAAAACAAAAAGTATGAAATTTGATGGAAAATTGACGAAATTATGCTCTCGCGAATTTTGATGTGCCAGCGATATTTACGAATCGGCGATTTTGCCGACTTTGACTCTCATTTTAGGCCAATTACGTTATTCCAGTCGACCAAATTCTTAGCTATTTCACTAGTATTACTCTTCTATCGATTGAGCACAAGAAATCACCAAGTCAAATGTTTCAACTACAAAATAAAGTGATCGGAAATTGGTAATTTGGCCAATTTAACACAAAGCTCAAAATATTCCAATTTCAAAATAGGGTCCAGAATAAACACTGTAGGTATTCCTGGCACTAAACTAACATTTCCTCTGTTCATTAGTTATGTTTTGAGGCTTTACAAATGAATTCCATTTTGATTTTTTATTCACATAATGAATTTTTATTCAAATCAAAAAATAGAAGATTTACTGTTATGCAATATTGTAATAATTGTATAAATATCATCACCACATTTGTGAACGTATATTAGACCTACTAGCTGACGTGTATTAGACGTGTGAGGTCATTTGTTTACTCTTGAACATTGGCAAAAATTTAACATTTCTGCTACTTTGAGCTCAGTTTCAAGCCATTTCCAGTGCGAAAACCAATCAAAATCATCTCTATTTCTGTAATATGTCTTCCATTCTATCAAATGAGACCAAGAAATTGCAAATACAACTACAGTGGACCCCCGGTTAACGATTTTAATCCGTGCAAGAGGGCTCATCGTTATGCGAAATAATCGTTATGCGAATGAATTTTCCCCATAAGAAATAATGGAAATAAAATTAATCCGTGCAAGACGCCCAAAAGTATGAAAAAAATTTTTTTTTACCACATGAAATGTTAATTTTAATACACACAAACTGAAAAAGGCATGCACAATTACATGACACTTACTTTTATTGAAGATCTGGTGATGATTGATGGGATGGGAGGAGGGGAAGCATTATCTTCTTACTGTTTAGAAGGGGAATCCCCTTCCATTAGGACTTGAGGTAGCAAGTCCTTTTCTGGGGTTACTTCCCTTCTTCTTTTAATGCCACTAGGACCAGCTTGAGAGTCACTGGATCTCTGTCGCACAACAAATCTGTCCATAGAGCTCTGTACCTCCCGTTCCTTCAAGACTTTCCTAAAATGGGCCATAACATTGTCATTGAAATAGTCACCAGCACGGCTTGCAACAGCTGTGTCAGGGTGATTTTCATCTATAAAGGTTTGCAGTTCAACCCACTCTGCACACATTTCCTTAATCTTTGAAGTAGGCACAATGGATTCCACAACTGGCATAGGCTTCTCAGGGTTAGCCCCAAACCCTTCAAAATCTTTCTTAATTTCCATACTAATTCTCACCCTTTTTACCACAGGGTTGGCACTAGAAGCTTTCTTGGGGCCCATGGTCACTTATTTTCCAGAAACAGCACCGAAAACACTGTAATAATACGAAATATTCCGAGTGTATGCTTGGATGTTACCGCGGAGGCTGGCTGGTAAACAATGGGACGGCCGGCACATGTGAGGGCACATTGGACGCGTCTCGGACGAAAATCGGTAAGCGGGTTTTTAATCGGTATGCGCGGCAAAAATTTTGCGATAAAAGTAATCGTTATGCGGAAAAATCGCTATGCGATGCCATCGTTATGCGGGGGTCCACTGTATAACAAACATACAAAAAACACTGCAAAGTCACTGTTTTAATCGAAAATCATGGTCACAGTTTTTTTCTCTCATTATACACTGTGTGCTACAGGATTTGTTTTATGTGGTGCACACATACCACATAGATGTATTCTCTCATATCTAGGCCCAAATTTACCACTCACAGCTTATCAGAGTGAGCTGAGCTCATGGCGTAGATCTACGGTTTGGACCCTGAACGTAAAGCCATAGATCTACGGGGCAGACCCTGAAAGGGTTAATACATATCCTCCATTACAATATAAGCATTATTCACTCGGCTTACCTGGAGAGGGTTTCGGGGGTCAATCAACGCTCCCGCGGCTCGATCTGAGATCAGGCCTCATGGTGGATCAGGGTCTGATCAATCAGGCTGTTACTGCTGGCTGCACACAAGCTGACATACGAACCACAGCCCGGTTGATCAGGTACTGACTTTAGGTGCCTGTCCAGTGCCTTCTTAAAGACAGCCAGGTGTCTATTGGTAATCCCCCTTATGTATGCTGGGAGGCAGTTGAACAGTCTTGGGCCCCGGACACTAATTATATCTCCTGCCGAGTCTTTTGCTTTCATAGGGAGTGATTTTCGTGTGCAGATTTGGTACCAATCCCTCCAGGACCTTCCAAGTGTATATTATCACGTACCTCTTTCTCCTGCGTTCCAGGAAATACAGGTCAAGGACCTTCAACTGTTCCCAGTAATTTAGGTGCCTTATCGTACTTATGTGTGCCGTGAAAGTTCTTTGTACACTCTCCAGGTCTGCAATGTTGCCAGCCTTGAAGGGGGCCATTAGTGTACAGCAGTATTCCAGCCTAGAGAGCATATGCGATTTGAAGAGAATCATCATGGGCTTGGAGTCCCTAGTTTTGAAGGTTCTCATTATCCATCCTATCAGTTTCCTAGCAGATGAGGTAGATACATTGTTGTGGTCTTTGACAGCGAGGTCCTCTGACATTATCACTCCCAGGTCCTTCACATTACTTTTCCGCTCTATTGTATGGTTAGAATTTGTCGTATACCCTGATACATTTTAAATTTCCTCAAGTTTCCCATATCTGAGTACATGTAGTTGAAATTTCTCCACGTTGAACTTCATACTGTTTTGAATGGCCCATTCAAAGATTTGGTTGATGTCCGCTTGGAGTCTCACAGTGTCTTCGATAGAGGTCACTTCCATGGTAATCCGGGTGTCATCCGCAAAGGAAGACATGGAGCTATGGCGTTCATCTCTGTCTATGTCCTCACCAACAACAGAATAATCTATTAGAAGCTCCCTTGGGTTTTGGAAATTCTTCATCTTATAATATTCCTCAAATAAGATGAATTTTCCTCTTTTGAATAAGTCATTTTGCCTTGACTATGCCCATTTGCTATCCAATAGGCATGACCATCCTCTTTTTTACAGTCTGGATGAAAAGGTAAGTCTACTGTGAATGTGAATAAATTGTATACTGATAAAACACTTGTCAGAACGAAAACTTTCATAAAGATAAATATTTCACTTGGAGATCAAGCTTGGTCTCCAAGTGAAACAGTCTTAATAAAAATTTCCATTTTGACATTGTGTTTTATCAGCTTGTCAGTTTTGCAACCTCTTCCCCAAATGGTACACTCTAATACGCATAATTTTCATCACTAAACTGTGGGGGCTTGCCTTTGAATGTGCTACCCTTTATTTAAATCTAATGGTCCAGGGATGTCTTATTATATTCTATTTAGCCTATAATTTGCCCCTGCTCAGGTGACCATTACTAAATTGAGGTCACATGCTTGTTAGCTGTGCAAGTGTGACCCACAACAATGCAGTTGCCATCCTCTCACTGAAGCCTGTGTATCTTTATAAGTATATGCTTCTAAGCTGTTGTGTTCTGAGCACTTCTGCAAAAAAGTGATTATGTGTGAGTGAGGTGAAAGTGTTGAATAATGATGAAAGTATTTTCTTTTTGGGGATTTTCTTTCTTTTTTGGGTCACCCTGCCTTGGTGAGAGACGGCCGACTTGTTAAAAAAAAAATATATAATCTATGGAAGAGCTGCCAAAAGAATACTAAAAACTTTATTCTTTTATAGTGACAAAGAACTGAAACTATATATAAGAGAAAGTAGTAAATGCTTCAGTCACTGAACACTAAAAAACAGAATAAAAATTGAAGGACACCACAAGCATAGCTCTGCTTCTGTAGCTATAACTATGTAATCACCTCTGCTCGGATTTGTGCCATGTGGTGTCCCCTCATTTGTGTTACTTTCTCCAGTGTTCTATTGTTATATAATATATACAGCATGTATGGTCATACCCTGCTTTACGTTGTTTTGACTTACGTCATGTTTGCCTTTACACCCTTTTCTAGAGTAAATTTCAGTTTAGCAAATGTCATTATGCTTGACATTGTCACTCAACAACATCACCTATGTCATAATAAAAATCATGAAATACATAAATAAATTTTCCTTAAAAATATATTTAAAATAAATAATACACAAAAATTAACAATAAAAGATAAAAGATGCTAAAAAATTTAAAATACAATAAAAACAAATTAAAGACCAAAAAAATGTATACATAGACGTAGTTCCATCGTCTTGCCGCGTGGCAGCGTTGCTGCTGGTTCTCATTCAAAGAAAGGGCGATGCCATATGTATTTTTGCCCATGCTGCAATCATGTGCTTGCTTTGCCTTTTGCTGTTATTTTTGTGATTACTCCTTTACTGTGTTTGTGTTTGCCATGGGTCCTAAGAAGGATAGTGCTAGTGATTCTAAGTGTAATGTGGTTACGATGGAAGATAAGTTAAACATGACTAAAAGGTACTTTTTAATGCCTTAACAAGAGTTATATTCTTTTACATATTCTTTACAATAACTGTAAGGTGTTTTTCATCATACTTAAGGCATTTTTAAGGGAAATAACAAGGTTTATAAAATAATTTTTTGTGTTCATTATTCTTTAAAAAATATGACTTAAAATGTGTTTTTAGTGTTCTTTAAGATTAAGTGATAGTTACATTCTTTCACCAATTGTTTATGCTAGTTTTGCAGTGTCTGTTGTCATTTTAAGGCATTATGTCCAGTTTACATCATGGCTCTTAGAACCAATTAATGACGTAGGGCAGGGTATGACTGTATATATATTTTTTCAACACGTTGGTCGTCTCCCGTTGAGGCAGGGTGACCCAAAATAGAAAGGAACACTTTCACCATCATTCACACATAATCACTGTCTTTGCAGAGGTGCCCAGATACGACAGTTCAAGTGTCACTCCAAACAATCAATATCCCAAACCCCTCCTGTAATATGCAGGCATTGTACTTATCACCTACAGGACTCCAGTCCACACAAAATATTACCCTACTCACACTCCAACACTCTGGACTTGAGTTCTGGAGGTGGGAAGTACAGTACCTACACTTTAACCCTTCAACTGTTCAAACAAATTTGCATTCACATGCGTAGTGCTCCAAAAGTAGATCTATGTTTTTTTACATATTTTCAAATATAACAAAAAAAAAAAAATAGATCAAAGTTTTTTTTACTCATTTTCAAATGTAAAAAAAAAAGAGGATCTATGTTTTTTTACATACTTTAAGATGTTGAAAAAACGTAGATCTACGTTTGGACAGTTTAAGGGTTAAATGAGGGGTCTGGGATATTTGCTGTTTGGAGCGACATCTGTAAACACAAAAGCAAATGCACACAAAACACTGGCACTTATTGTTGCTGCAAGGTACCAGTTAACTATTATTCTACACTGTTTATTAGTTACATGTGCACAGCATAAGTGGTCACTGTTGTGCTGTATGGTACTAATGCATGGCACACACAGCCCTTTGTATGGATCATGCAAGCTGACTCTGATCCTATACCATGTTCATTTCTTACATGTGAATATAAGCAGTCCTTATGTGGGACTTATTGTGCCATGTGTTCATTGGTTATAGGTAGTAGGCTGGTAGACAGCAACCGCCCAGGGAGGTACCACCGTCCTGCCAAGTGAGTGTAAAACGAAAGCCTGTAATTGTTTTACATGATGGTAGGGTTGCTGGTGTCCTTTTTTCTGTTTCATAAACATGCAAGATTTTAGGTACGTCTTGCTACTTCTACTTACACTTAGGTCACACTGCACATACATGTACAAGCATATATACACATACCCCTCTGGGTTTTCTTCTATTTTCTTTCTAGTTCTTGCTCTTGTCTATTTCCTCTTATCTCCATGGGGAAGTGGAATAGAATTCTTCCTCCATAAGCCATGCGTGTCATAAGAGGCTACTAAAATGCCGGGAGCAAAGGGCTAGTAACCCCTTCTCCTGTATATATTACTAAATTTAAAAGGCAAAATTTTTTTTTTTCCTTTTGGGCCACCCCACCTCAGTAGGATATGGCTGGTGCATTGAAAGAAGAAGTGTTCATTGGTACATGTACATGGCATAACATGCCATTGTATGCCCACTATTGTGCCGTGTGATGCTGGCATGTTGCTGTTAATTTCTTGTATACACATAGCATTAGCCAATCCTTGTCTCATGACTTGAAGCCAGTTTCAGGTCCTTGCATTCCAGCTCTGCATCCCACTGGGTCCTGCCTCCCACTGTTGTTAATTATTAAAGATGGCCTCTCTCCTCCATATGCTTCTGTTGTAGTGGCTTCATTTCCAGCTATACTGCCCAGCATGAAATGATTGGATGACATGTTCACTCTTTGTTTTCTGAATGTTATACCACTTCCTGGAGCATCATATAAGAACATAAGAAAGAGGGAACACTGCAGCAGGCCTACTTGTTCATGCAAGGCAGGTCCAATCCTCCGACCAAAGCCAATGCCCTAACCTAGTCAGGTCAGGTCACATTCACTTAAGGAAAGACCATGGCATCTGACCTAGTAGCACAAGCTAGTCAGGTCCAACTCACACCCACTCATGTATTAATGTAATCTATTTTTAAAACTACACAACGTCTTAGCTTCTATGATGGTACTCAGGAGTTTGTTCCACTCATCCACAACTCTATTACCAAACCATTGCTTTCCTATATCCTTCCTGAATCTGAATTTTTCCAACTTAAAGCCACTGCTGAGAGTCCTGTCCAAGCTAGATATTTTTAGAACACTATTTACATCCCCTTTATATATTCCCATTTTCCATTTATACACCTCAATCATATCCCCCTTAATTCTATGCCTTTCTAGAGAGTGCAGATTCAGGGCCCTCAGTCTGTCCTCATAGGGAAGATTTCTGTTACATGGGATCAACTTTGTCATCCTCCTTTGTAAGTTTTCCAGTGCATTTATATCCATTCTGTAATACGGTGACCAGAACTGTGCAGCATAATCTAAATGAGGCCTAACCAAAGATATATATAGTTGAAGAACAACCTGAGGACTACTATTATTTATACTTCTTGATATGAAGCCAAGGATTTAACTTTATTGCAAACACTTATGCACTGTTGTCTTGGTTTCAGATTATTGCTAACCAGAACTCCTAAATCCTTTTCACAATCAGTAATATTAAGATCTACATTATTTAGTTTATATGTGGCATGGTTATTGTCCTGTCCAACATTTAGAACTTTGCATTTGTCTATGTTAAACTGCATCTGCCACTTCTCCGACCACTGCATCAGTCTATTCAAATTATCCTGGGGTGCTCTAATGTCCTCGTTAGAATGAATTGGACAGCCTAATTTGGTGGCATGAGGAAATTTGCTTATGTTGCTATTTATTCCCTCATCTATGTCGTTTATGTAAATTGTGAACAACAAGGAGCCCAACACTGACCCCTGTGGAACACCACTTGTGACTTGCCCCCATTCTGATTTCTCCCCATTTATGCAAACTCTCTGCTGCCTATTTATCAGCCATGCCTCTACCCAGGAAAAAATTTCTCCTATTTTGTGTGCCTTAAGTTTCCTCAATAGCCTCTGATGTGGAACTCTATCTAAAGCCTTACTGAAGTCCATATACACAATATCATATTCGATACCATGATCTACCTCCTCAAATATCTAAGTGAAAAAGGTTAGCAAATTCGTGCTGAGATTCATTAATCAATTTATGCCTTTCAAGATAGCTACGAATTGCCTTGGCAATTACTGATTCCATAAATTATCCCACTATAAAGGTAAGGCTTATTGGTCTATAGTTTGAAGCTAAGGATCTGTCACCTGCCCTGTAAATAGGTATTACATTTGCCATTTTCCACCTGTCTGGTACTATGCCAGTTTGTAGTGATATATTGAATAGATTAGACAAGAGTATGCCAAGTTCCTCTTTCCATTCCTTTAAAACCCTTGCAAATAGTTCATCGGGGCCTGGGGATTTGTTAGGTTTTAATTTCTCTATTTGTCTGAGGACCATGTCACTAGTTACCCCAATCATGCATAGTTTATCATCCTGTTCTACATAATTCATTATTTCTGGAATTTCACTAGTATCTTCCTGAGTAAAAACTGAGACCAAGTAAGTGTTGAGAAGTTCACACATTTCCTTATCACTGTCAGTGATCTGACCTGAGTTGCTCTTAAGTGGGCCTATCTTACTCCTAATTTTACTTCTGTATACCTGAAAGAACTGCTTGCTTGCTGTTTGCTGGGTACCTGTGTGTGTGTCTGCAAAGATGGTCTTCTGACCTTTCAGGATGTCTTGATTTATGATGTTCCAGTGCTGCCTAAGCCATTGGCCAAATACAGAGATCCTCTTTCACACCAAATTCCAGCACTTTCTCTAGTGCTCATGAAACCATTCTTACACAGCTCAGGTTTGTGCCAGCTTGGAATTTTTGCCACTTACCAGTCATCACTTTCATTATGGATATTGGTGATACGATTCCAAAGTGGGTCCTCTCATCATCCAGTGAAAGAACATTAAGTTTTGAAGTATGAAAATATGTTGTTGTGACCATGAGGCACACATTTCTACCTCTGCCAGTTGATATGTTTACTAATATTGACTAGATTGTTGTATATCTTGCCAACTTAGCTAATACATGCAGGTAACCTCATTCTAGCAGTGGTCATTAGAGCTGGGATGAACAAGTAGCATAACAGAGCTACTGAAGTTGAGTAATAGGTACAGATAGGCATATCATATCCCCAAGGGAAAGATATTAGTTATTCATACTTTCAAAACCTGATTTTTTCATAACAAGGAACAACAATTGTAGACTGACTGTTACTACTGAAAAATAAACCAATAACAACAAAAATAGGCAATCCAGAGAAAATGAAAGGCAAAAAAGGGCAAAGCCAGCTTAAAATGGTAGGAAAATCTAAATACTGGTGTAATTAGAGATATTCTGACAGGGTGTTATTTCTGTGCATTTATCAGAGTCCAAACACAGAAATATATATTCTACACGCAATTTCTCTAGACTTTGTAACATGTTTTTGTAACCTAATATGATACTTTAAACAGTAAAGAGCCTCTTATCAGCAATTTTTAAGACTGGCATTTTAAAAGAAGTAATGCACACAAGTATAAAGGACAATTTGAAGCACAGTGAGCATAATACAGGTAACTGAAGGCTTCACAAGCTTACCATATTATTTGTGCTGTGGCCATAAAATGTTGATTTGTTGCCAGACTTTTTAGCAGTAGTGATTCCTTAGCCTTAAAGAGAAAAATTGTGTCCTTAAGTTAATATCTTGTAAAATGGTCAGCCCTGAGGACATTATTTTTACCCGTTGTTTATTATGCCCAAGTACAATGACTTGACCTTTTGTGTGACAAGTAAAGCAAATTTAATACATTAACTATTTCCTTGTATGAAAACTGTAACTCAAGTACTATACAGATTTTCCCAAAACAGTGGCCGTTACACTTATAATTACTTGAATTATTATTGTTAGTCAATATCTTGACAGTAACAATGTAAGTCACTATACTTAGGAGCTTTTAGGTATTCCAACTTCTAAAAGTACTGATGATAGTGCTGCTATCATAAAAGGATACCTCAGAGTAATATATTTTCTTTTACATAATAAACATTTTTTTTTTTAAATTTTGTTTTTAGAAGGCAATAAAAATAATAAATGGTTGTTAATCTGGAAAGGTCATCTCCCAGCCACTAAGCTTAATTAGGCAAGCTTTAAATCTGCCTTGCACTCACCTTTGTCATAGGCTCTGTGATCTGTCATTACATGATGCTTAATATCTACAGTAATGTCTTTTAACTGTAGATGATTATTACATCATTTACAAGCCTTTACCTATAGAACTTTTCAAATTTAAACTGAACAAGTTATGTCTAAAATAAAAGCAGTAATAACTTTCTAAAAAGACTTCTGGACAGTGTGCTTGCCTGAGCATTACAGTAGTGTCAAGAGGTTTATTAAACCCTTTTTTATCCAAAAATTATGAAAACTGCTTTAACTTTCCACTAAGTGGATCATTGATATATTAAGTAATTTTTCTCACTAATTAAAGGCACAGTGAATACTGCACTGTATTGCAAAGTTGATAAATGACCCTTTACTGTACAATATTATTTGACAAATACAACGTCACTCAACAAGACAACATAGACACACCAGGAGGTGCGAGTGTGCATCACTCTTGTAGGCTGACGGTGACAGACCGTGTGTGTGACACATTATCCTTCAAACTGTCTGAATCTCGGGTAGAGAGTGAGAACTGGTCCTCTGTGCGATGTTGGTCACACCCATCATCACCTTCGGCTTCTTCAAGCAGAGGGGCTCCTGTAATGTAGTGATAACACTCATAATCTGTTCTCACTACTTTCATACATTAAGGAGAACAAAAGTAAGTGTAGTATAAAACCAAAGGTGAGATGTAGGAATTATGGCAGTAAAGTGCCAATATATGAATGTAATGAATACAAAAATCTTGAATTGTGTAAAGATAATTATCTATGTTGATGTTATGACAGTTCTCTAGCTATTAATACAACATTTGGCATAATAAATGGAATATAAAAACAGGAAAAAATCATGACTAACCACAAGACAAACAATAACTGAATATCAAAATACCACAGTGAAATAGAAAAATTAGAACAAAGGCTTTTTTTTACAATCACTAACAATGCTTTATCAATGTCAAAAATGTGCCAGAATCACGTGTAGCTTTGGCCAAGTTGGCCACTGAAGCATCTTTAGTAAGTACAAAAAAAGGTTTTGTTAGCCATTTTTACATTTCTGAATGGTGTTTTGATGTAAAGTAACAATGAAACAACAACCTAAGCAGTTTGCAAAATTTTTTTAGCTTTAGATTTTTTTAAAAGTACCGAGTCAAGGTCAGCCCATCTGAGACGAGGTTTAAAGTGAATTATTGTAGTGAAGAGCTAAACCTATAGGGGTCATCCAGTGCCTAGGAAAAGCCTATAAGGGTTATCCAGTGTCTAGGAAAAACCTATAGGGGTCATCCAGTGCCTCAGAAAAAACTATAGGGGTCATCCAGCACTTAGGAAAAACCTACAGGGGTCATCCAGTGCCTAGAAAAAGCCTATAAGGGTTATCCAATGTCTAGGAAAAACCTATAGGGGTCATCCAGTGCCTAGGAAAAACCTAGAGGGCTCATCCAGTGCTTAGGAAATGTAAGGTAATCAGGATCTAAAAAAAGGAAGTGTAGCACCAATTCTTTCTATCAAGAAGTCTTCAAAAGCACCCCCTTGAAGAGTTCTAAATGGAAAGAATAATTAAAAAAAATCAAGTAAAAAAGACAGCAAATGCCTGATACCAATCTGGCTAATTAACCATCAATATTATCAAACAACAAGCACTCTACACCACTCCCCTAAAAATATACGTAGGTGCATAAAAGTAGAGGTCATGAAAATATACATTTCATGCACCATATTTGAGTGCAATGGCTCTTTGGATATTGAACAAATATTAACTACCATACTAGATCAGCTGGTAATGATGAAGACACCCATCCCATGATATGTGAGATCAATTCCATGGTCAGGCAGGGCATAAGGAACATTCACGTCTGTAATGTGATGAGTTGATCACTCTCTCTCAAGCCTCCAACATAAGCTAATCCATTCTGCGAAGGGTTGGCCACTCTACAAATTGCTAGGAGGCATTGCAAAGGCAAAATATTTTTTCCAATTGAACTCAAACTCACCATTTAATGTGCTTTTGAACATACCCTCATTATTAACCAGAGAAGACGTGTCAAATGATGCTAGTGAGCCAGCCAAGGCACGACACGAGGGAGCTTGTGAGGTGCCGCTGCTTGTTCCACCAGAGCTTTGGGTATCCACTGTCACATTGGTGGAGTCGCTCACTGCAACAGTGTCTGTTGAGCCAAGGCTGTCACAGGCAGACCAGCTACGCATGCTCATAGAGCGTGAAGTGCTGCCAAGGAAAATATTAGTAATTTATAAAACACTGGTAATTATAGCAAGAAGTTCTGTATCAATCACAAATTTTCTTTCATATAAGTATAGTTTCTACTGTACATACAGAACACATAACATACTTGTTAAGGATTTAAAATGAAAATGGTACTGTCACTCATGCAAACAAATGTACTTACTAAAGTTTACCCATCATTTCTGTTAATGTTTCATGTTCACAAAACTACAATCAACGGAAGGAGAAAACTCCTCGCCTACTGAAGCACGTGTCCCTCAGATGGATTTAAAAGCCCGCAGTAAACCTTATCTAACAGTGTGTCAAAAGGAGACGAGCACAGTTTTGCAAGAAATCCGTGAATGGGGTTTTGAGGAGTGGAGGGAAGATTTGTGCTCAGATGAATCAACCTTTGCAGTGACTGGTAGTGGTGGAAGGAGGGTGTACCAGGTACCACATTCTGACCCCACACTTCCCACAGTACACTGATAAGACTGAAACACCTGCATCCCTCATGGTGTAGGGATTGTTTTACTTACTGTGGTGTTGGGGAATTAGTATAACTTCCCAAAAATATAAGGAATGAGAATAATTATCTGGAGCTTTTAATGGAACATTTACCTTATTATTTAGGAAGTACCAAACCTCCAAAGCAACACTGTTTATACAAGGCTGTACTCCTTGCCACACTGCCAAAAGTGTCAAAAAGTGCTTAAGTGATTGTGGAGTGCCCTATTTTAGTGACAGGCCAGATAACAGCCCAGCCCTAAACCCAACAGAAAATCTGTGGTCACTTAAGAAATGTCGCCTAGGGGACTGTAACATGTAGTGCGTCTCATAGCTTGAAGCAGCTACTTTTAGCTATGGGCCTCAGTCTCACCTACCACCCTTCACAATTTATCTGACAGTGTTCCTCGAAGGCTTCACCAGGCCACCGGGTGCCCCGGTGGCCTAGTGGCTAAATCTCTCGCTTTACACACGGAGAGCCCGGGTTCGATTCCCAGTGGGGTGGAAACATTTCTACGTGTTTCCTTACACCTGTTGTCATGTTCACCTAGCAGCAAATAGGTACCTTGGTGTTAGTCGACTGGTGTGGGTCGCATCCTGGGAGACAAGATTGAGGACCCCAATGGAAATAAAACACAGTCCTCGATGACGCACTGACTTTCCGGGGTTATCCTGGGTAGCTAACCCTCCGGGGTTAAAAATCCGAAGAAATCTCTCTCTTCAGAAATAACCGAAGTGCAAGAGGAATTTAACCACATATTAACTCCAGTGGGAAGTGTTATATTGTTTTGCTTGCATAACTTAACCAAAATTCTTGTTTTTTTTTTCAACCAGCATCATAACTTATTTCTCTAAGTTTAGTCTTTTCTACAATCATGTAATCTAAAACTTTCCAAACATCAAATAATTTTTTCCTTTACTAATATGAATCTAAATCGTCTAATACATCAGCTTTTACACACACATCTTTTAATAACTGTGCTTTTTTTCTACCATTATTATAATGTGTACTCCATGAGAAAGTGGAAAAGAATCCTTCCTCCATAAGCCATGCATGAGAGGTGACTAAAATGCCAGGAGCAAGGGGCTTGTAACCCCTTCTCTGTATAAATTACTAAACATAAAAATAGGAAAACTTTTGTTTCTTCTTTTTTTGGGCCACCCGGCTCTGGTGGGAGGCCAGAGTAAAAAAATAGTGTGTGTGAGCGTGCATGTGTATGTTAGCTACCATTTTGTCCTAGGCACATGTCAATTAGACACTAGGCCTGTTGTATATGCGTACATGCATGTGAGTGTGTGTGTGTGTGTGTGTGTGTGTGTGTGTGTGTGTGTGTGTGTGTGTGTGTGTGTGTGTGTGTGTGTGTGTGTGTGTGCACGCGTGTGTGTGTGTATGTGTGTGTGTGTATGTGTGTGTGCGCATGTGTGTGCGCATGTGTGTGCGCATGTGTGTGCGCATGTGTGTGCGCGTGCGTGCGTGTACACGTGCATGCGTGTGTACTCACCTAGTTGTGGTTGCGGGATTCGAGTCACAGTTCCTGGCCCCGCCTCTTCAACTGGCCACTACCCAGTCACTCTTTCTGCTCCGTGAGCTTTATCATACCTCTTCTTAAAGATATGTATGGATTCTGCCTCCACTACATCACTACCCAGGCTATTCCACTTCCTGACAACTCTGTGACTGAAGAAATACTTCCTAACATCCCTGTGGTTCATCTGAGTCTTCAACTTCCAACTGTAACCCCTTGTTGCTGTGTCCCATCTTTGGAACATCCTGTCTCTGTCCACCTTGTCTATACCTCTCAGTATTTTATATGTCATTATCATATCCCCGCTATCTCTCCTGACTTCCAGTGTCGTCAGGTTGATTTCCCTTAACCTCTCCGCGTAGGACATACCCCTTAGCTCCGGGAATAGTTTCTCTAGTTTCCTTACATGCTTGGCTAGGTGAGAGTTCCAGATTGGCGCTACATATTCTAATATGGGCCTAACGTACACAGTGTACAGGGTTCTGAATGACTCCTTATTTAGATGTCAGAATGCTGTTCTTAGGTTTGCAAGGCACCCATATGCTGCAGCAGTTATTTGGTTGATGTGTATCTCAGGAGATGTGCCTGGTGTTATACACACACCAAGATCCTTTTCCTTGAGTGAGGTTTGTAGGCTCTGGCCCCCCTAGATTGTACTCCGTCTGTGGTCTTCTTTGCCCTTCTCCAATCTTCATGACTGCACTTGGTGGGGTTGAACTCCAGGAGACAGTTGCTGGACCAGGCCTGCAGTCTGTCCAGATCCCTCTGTAGTTCTGCCTGGTCCTCATCCAACTGAATTCTACTCATTGTCTTCACATCATCTGCAAACACGTCGTTCACAAATACCAGAAACAGCATCGGTCCTAGGACTGATCCCTGTGGCACCCTGCTCATTACAGGCGTCCATTCTGACACCTCGCCACATACCATGACTCACTGTTGTCTTCCTGACAGGTATTCCCTGATACATTGTAGTGCCTTCCCTGTTATCCCTGCCTGGTCCTCCAGCTTCTGCACTAATCTCTTGTGTGGAACTGTGTCAAACACCTTCTTACATTCCAAGAAAATGCAATCTACCCACCCCTCTCTCTCTCGTCTTACTGCCGTCACCCTGTCATAGAACTCCAGTAGGTTTGTGACGCAGGATTTCCTGTCCCTGAAACCATGCTGGCTGTCGTTGATAAGCCCCTTCCTTTCTAGGTGCTCCACCACTCTTCTCCTGATAATTTTCTCCATGACCCTGCATACTATACACATCAGTGACACTGGTCTGTAGTTTAATGCTTCGCGTCTGTCTCCTTTTTTAAAAATTGGGACTACTTCTGGTAGTCGTCCTGTTTCGATAGATGTGTTGAAGATAGTTGTTAGTGTTACACAAAGCACCTCTGCTCCCTCTCTCAGTACCCATAGAGAGATGTTATCCGGCCCTATCGCATTTGAGGTATCTAGTTTGCTTAACAGCCTCTTCACTTCTTCCTCAGTTGTATGTACTGTGTCCAACACTTGATTGTGTACCCCATCTCTCTGCCTTTCTGGAGGCCTTTCTGTCTCCTCTGTGAACACTTCTTTGAATCTTGTGTTAAGCTCCTCACATACTTTGCGGTCACTTTTTGTAACCTCTCCTCCTTCCTTCCTCAGTCTGATTACCTGGTCCTTGACTGTTGTTTTCCTCCTGATGTGGCTGTACAACAGCTTTGTGTGTATGTGTATGTGTGTGTGTGTGTGTGAGCGAGCACGTGTGTGTGTGTGTGTGTGTGTGTGTGTGTGTGTGCACGTGTGAACGTGAGTGCGTGTGTGTGCGTGTGTGCGTGCGTGTGCGCGTGTGAGGGTGTGCGTGCATGAGGGTGTGCGTGCGTGTGTGTACAGTACAGTATCAAATTACTCTTAAGTGATAATGTATGATGTGCACAAATGTATGGTAAAGTACCTAGAATATTGTATACAGTATTTGGTGCTAATAAAATCCTTAACTTAACCCTTCTCTTTAAGTTTACTTTGATAACAAATGGGTTTACCAGGTATATTTATAGGACCCTAACAGCAAAAGCAAAGCAACACAAAGCAAACCTAGGCTAGCCTAGCCTAAGCTAAGCTAAGCAACCTAGCCTAGGTTAGCCTGCCTTAATTAAACTAGCCTAGCTAAATTAGCCTAAACTAACCTGATTTAACCTTGTAAAATGTCATGGTACCCACACATAATGCAGCAGCATTAATTTTGTTATAAGACACAGCTACTTGTAACATAAGAGTGCAACCACACTTCAAATGGTATTAAGGGCATCAGTTTTTAAAAGGTTTGCACGACGAGAGGAAAATAAAGAAAAATACATTTCTTATCTCACCTGGAAGATTGGCGAGCCGATCCAATAGACTGATAAGAAATGTTATCCGGATTGTCTCTGTGGCGTGATCGTCGTACCCCAGGCACCACTACTCTATGTCCTCTGCTTCGATGGTTGTGAGGAGTGAAGCGACCTCCTGCATTTGATCCATGAGGCTCGAACATAATTGCTGGTCTGTGTCGTACAGCCTCCTCATAAGTAGGTGGGACACCCTAGCAGAAAGTGATATATTCAAATTAGTTCTTAAAATCTATTACTCAATCTACCCCCTTTTTTTTTTTTTTGGTAAGACATTGGCTGTTTCCCACTGAGGCAAGGTGACCTAAAAATGATGAAGCACTTTCATCATCACTTACTCTATATCAACAGATAGGCTCTTGTTCAAGGGAACTGAGGCACCTTCCCTTTCTTTGGATCAGACCTGATTATCTCCCATTTACCAAGTGCTTCATGACCCTGCATATTTAGCATGGGAGATCTTCCTCAGGAATAATGGAAATAGTGAGATGGCCTCCAGACAGCCCTATCTGCACATGTCACTGTAGCCTGTGTGACATACCTCTGACTGGATCCAAGGGCTCTTCTCTGCCTGCCTCTTCTAATATTATATGTTATGACTGACAAACCTGTGGCATGCCTACCCAAGAAAGCATGTGAGAACAATTTTTTTTTTTACACATCGCCGGAAAGCAGAACGCCATTTGTTTTTCCACTTATAAATGCATATAACCTAGGTAGTAGGATAGTAGATAGCAACCGCCCAGGGAGGTACTACCGTCCTGCCAAATGAGAGTAAAACGGAAACCTGTAATTGTTTTACATGATGGTAGGATTGCTGGTGTCTTTTTTCTCTCTCATAAACATGCAAGATTTCAGGTACATCTTGCTACTTCTACTTACACTTAGGTCACACTACACATACATGTACAAGCAAATATATACATACATACCCCTCTGGGTTTTCTTCTATTTTCTTTCTAGTTCTTGTTCTTGTTTATTTCCGCTTATCTCCATGGGGAAGTGGAACAGAATTCTTCCTCCGTAAGCCATGCGTGTCGTAAGAGGTGACTAAAATGCAGGGAGCAAGGGGCTAGTAACCCCTTCTCCTGTATATATTACTAAATTTGAAAGGAGAAACTTTCGTTTTTCCTTTTGGGTCACCCCACCTCAGTGGGATACAGCTGGTACGCTGAAAGAAGAGGAAGAAAAATGCATATAAATGACAGACAACAAGTTTACACTAACTTATATTAAGTTAGTACAGAACTAGGCTAGGTAGTTTGTTGGACTATATCTTGGTAGATAAAAGACTACTGAGTAGACTTTAGGATGTACATGTTTACAGAGGGGCCACAGATATATCAGATTACTTTCTAGTTGTAGCTACAGTGAGAGTAAAAGGTAGATGGGATACAAGGAAAATAGAAGCAGCAAGTAAGAGAGAGGCGAAGGTTTATAAACTAAAAGATGAGGCAGTTAGGGTAAGATACAAACAACTATCGGTGGATAGATGAGCTAGTGAGAATATAGGCAATAGGGTGGAAGATGTATGGGGTAGGTTTAAGAATGTAGTGTAAGAGTATTCAGCAGAAGTTTGTGGTTACAGGAAAGCGGGTGTGGGAGGGAAGAAGAGCGATTGGTGGAATGATGATGTAAAGAGGGTAGTAAGGGAGAAAAAGTTAGCACATGAGAGGTTTTTACGAAGTAGAAGTGATGCAAGGAGGGAAGAGTATATGAAGAGAAAAAGTGAGGTTAGGAGAGTGGTGAAGCAATTTAAAAAGAGAGCAAATGAGAGAGTGGGTGAGATGTTATCAACAAATTTTGTTGAAAATAAGAAAAAGTTTTGGAGTGAGAGTAATAAGCTGAGGAAGCCTAGAGAACAAATGGATTTGCCAGTTAAAAATAGGAGAGGAGAGTTATTAAATGGAGAGTAAGAGGTATCGGGAAGATGGGCGGAATATTTTGAGGAACTGTTAAATGTTGAAGAAGATAGGGAAGCTGTGATTTTGTGTATAGGGCAAGGAGGAATAGCATCTTGTAGGAGTGAGGAGGAGCCAGTTGTGAGCGTGGGGGAAGTTCGTGAGGCAGTGGGTAGAATGAAAGGGGGTAAGGAAGCTGGGATTGATGGGATAACGATAGAAATGTTAAAAGCAGGTGGGGATGTAGTTTTGGAGTGGTTGGTGCTGTTATTTAATGAATGTATGGAAGAGGGTAAGGTACCTAGGGACTGGCAGAGAGCATGCATAGTTCCTTTGTATAAAGGCAAAGGGGATAAAAAAATAGTGCAAAAATTATAGGGGAATAAGTCTGTTGAGTTCTAGGTAGCAGGTTGGTAGACAGCAACCGCCCAGGGAGGTACATACTACTGTCCTGCCAAGTGAATGTAAAACAAAAGCCTGCAATTGTTTTACATGATGGTTGGGTTGCTGGTGTCTTTTGTCTGTTTCATAAACATGCAAGATTTCAGGTACATCTTGCTACTTCTACTTACACTTACGTCACACTACACATACATGTACAAGCATATACAGTGGACCCTTGCCTAACGATGGCATCACATAACGTTAAATCCACCTAGCGATACATTTTAAGGCAAAAATTTTGCCTCGCCTAGCGCTAAAAAACTCGTTCAACGCGATTCGTCCGAGACGCGTCTATGTGCAGCCTGAGCCAGCCTCACTTGTTCCACGGGTGGCAGTGTTTACAAGCCAGCCTCAGTGGTCACATCCAAGCATACAATCGGAACATTTCGTATTATCACAGCCTTTTTAGTGATTTCACCTGCAAAATAAGTGACCATGGGCCCCAAGAAAGCTTCTAGTGCCAACACTACAGGAATAAGGGTGAGAATTACTATGGATATAAAGAAAGAGATCACTGCTAAGTATGAAAGTGGAGTGCGTGTCTCCGAGCTGGCTAGGTTGTATAGTAAACCCCAATCAACCATCGCTACTATTGTGGCCAAGAAAATGACAATCAAGGAAGCTGTTCTTGCCAAAGGTGCAACTTTGTTTTCGAAACAGAGATCGCAAGTGATAGATGATGTTGAGAGACTGTTATTGGTGTGGATAAACGAAAAACAGTTAGCAGGTGACAGTATCTCTCAAGCGATCATATGTGAAAAGGCTAGGGAGTTGCATGAGGACTTAATTAGAAAAATGCCTGCAAATAGTGGTGATGTGAGTGAATTTAAGGCCAGCAAAGGTTGGTTTGAGAGATTTAAGAAGCATAGTGGCATACATAGTGTGATAAGGCATGGTGAGGCTGCCAGTTCAGACCACAAAGCAGCTGAAAAATGTGCATGAATTCAAGGAGTACATAGACAGTGAAGGACTGAAACCTGAACAAGTGTTTAATTGTGACGAAACAGGCCTATTTTGGAAGAAAATGCCAAGCAGGGCCTACATTACTCAGGAGGAAAAGGCACTCCCAGGACATAAGCCTATGAAAGACAGGCTTACTCTGTTGATGTGTGCCAATGCTAGTGGTGATTGCAAAGTGAAGCCTTTATTGGTGTATCACTCTGAAACTCCCAGAGCACTCAGGCAAAAGAATATCCTCAAGGCTAATTTGTGTGCTGTGGAGGGCAAACAGTAAGGCATGGGTAACTAGGGACTTTTTCTATGACTGGTTACACCATGCATTTGCCCCCACTGTGAAAAATTACCTAACTGAAAAGAAATTAGACCTTAAGTGCCTCCTGGTGTTAGACAATGCCCCTGGTCATCCTACAGACTTGGCAGAGCGATTTTGTGGGGACATGAGCTTCATTAAGGTAAAGTTTTTGCCTCCTAATACCACTCCTCTCCTGCAGCCCATGGACCAGCAGGTCATTGCAAACTTCAAAAAACTGTACACAAAAGCTCTGTTTGAAAGGTGCTTTGTAGTGACCTCAGAAACTCAATTGACTCTAAGAGAGTTTTGGAGAGATCACTTTAATATCCTCAATTGTGTAAACCTTATAGGTAAGGCTTGGGAGGGAGTGACTAAGAGGACCTTGAACTCTGCTTGGAAGAAACTGTGGCCAGAATGTGTAGACCAAAGGGATTTTGAAGGATTTGAGGCTAACCCTGAGAAGCATATGCCAGTTGAGGAATCAATTGTGGCATTGGGGAAGTCCTTGGGGTTGGAGGTTAGTGGGGAGGATGTGGAAGAGTTGGTGGAGGAGGACAATGAAGAACTAACCACTGATGAGCTGCTAGATCATCTTCAACAGCAAGAGGCCAGACCTGAGGAAACTGCTTCGGAGGAGGGGAGAGAGAAATTGAAGAAGTTGCCTACTTCAAAGATTAAGGAAATATGTGCAAAGTAGCTTGAAGTGCAAACCTTTATGGATGAAAATCACCCTCGCACAGCTATTGCAAGCTGTGCTGGTGACTATTACACTGACAATGTTGTGAAACACTTTAGGAAAGTTATAAAGGAACGAGAGGTACAGGCCTCTATGGACAGATATGTTGTGCGACAGAAGTCCAGTGACTCTCAAGCTGGTCCTAGTGGCATTAAAAGAAGAAGGGAAGTAACCCCGGAAAAGGACTTGACACCTTAAGTCCTAATGGAAGGGGATTCCCCTTCTAAACACTAAGACCATCCACACTCTCCCCTCCTCCCATCCCATCAATCATCACCAGATCTTCAATAAAGGTAAGTGTCATGTAACTGTGCATGTCTTCTTCAGTTTGTGTGTATTAAAATTAATATTTCATGTGGTAAACAAATTTTTTTTTCATACTTTTAGGTGTCTTGCACGGATTAATTTGATTTCCATTATTTCTTATGGGGAAAATTAATTCGCCTAACGATAATTTCGCCTAACATTGAGCTCTCAGGAACAGATTAATAGCGTTAGGTGAGGGTCCACTGTATATACATACCCTTCTGGGTTTTCTTCTATTTTCTTTCTAGTTCTTGTTCTTATCTATTTCCTCTTATCTCCATGGGGAAGTGGAATAGAATTCTTCCTACGTAAGCCATGCATGTCGTAAGAGGCGACTAAAATGCCAGGAGCATGGGGCTAGTAACCCCTTCTCCTGTATATATATATATATTACTAAATTTAAAAGGCGAAACATTTGTTTTTCATTTTGGGCCACCCCACCTCAGTGGGATATGGCTGGTGTGTTGAAAGAAAGAAGTCTGTTGAGTTCTAGGTAGCAGGTTGGTAGACAGCAACCGCCCAGGGAGGTACTACTGTCCTGCCAAGTGAATGTAA